AATAACAGGAATGATTAAACCCAAAAGGAGCTGATCTGGCTGATTTGGCTGTTGAGTATGGGCACCTGAACCACCCAATCAACTATCTGGGGTGGTTCAGGCCCCTCCCTGCCTACCTCGTGGACTCCCTCCCTGTGAGAATACCACCACCTGGGTTCTGAAAACCAGGTATGGAAGATGCCTTTGGAGAGGATTCCCTGTCTGATTTCCTTACCAGCAGGCACCCCTATCCCCAGCATATATTTGGTGCAGCAGCTACAGGCTTACAGCCGATACCTTCCTGGAGCATTGTCCTTGGCCACTGGGAGCTGCCTTGAGGGTTATACCACCATGTATACCACCACCCAGCCCAGCGGAGGAAATGACTGACAGGCACGTGGGTCAGCAGTCGGTCCTGGTGCTTCAAGTCGGGGCAAATCTGTAGTATAGTTTCTGTTCCGGGATCCCCGAGGACCTCATGAAGGTTAGACTTGACCTCAGTCACAGCTTGCTTCAGGCTTGCCGCTTACCTATCCTGCTTCCCTCACTCCTTTATAGGTTTTTCCTGAACAGCACTTGCTAGCTAATTTTGTGCCTGTAAGGCACCATGTTCACCTAACATCCAGATGTCTTATCGCTCTATTTTTTTTTGTTTGTTTGTTTGTTTAGATAGAGTTTCATTCTGTTGCCCAGGCTGGAGTGCAGTGGCGTGATCTCAGCTCACTGCAGCCTCCGCTTCCCAGGTTCAAGTGATTCTCCTGCCTCAGCCTCTATGTACACGCCACCATGTCTGGCTAATTTTCGTATTTTTTAGTAGAGATGGGGTTTCACCATGTTGGCCAGCCTGGGTTCAAACTCCTGGCCTCAAGTGATCCGCCCGCCTCTGCTTCCCAAAATGTTGGGATTACAGGTGTGATCCACTGCGCCTGGCCCCAGATGTGTTATCTCTTGGTGACCTTGGTTGAGAGTGTATCTTTGGTGCATGCTACAGTCAATGGTAACTTCTACTGGCGTATTTGCCTCCAAGTTCTCTGTTTCTCCAAGCCTCCGACACAGCCTTCTTGAGTGTGCTTCCCAGGCCCACTTCACAATTCTGTAACCAGAAAGAGCATTTCTGTATCAAGAACAAATTAAGGCTGATGCCCTGAACTGATATTCCTTCTCTCTAAGGGTAAAACATACACACACCCCAACACCACCATCGTCAATAATTCCTTTCCTGGTCTTCATTGTGTATCTCTCATGTGATTGTTGTACCGTGTGCTTATTGGGTTGGGGTCCATACGCGATGCTGGGAGTGTGGGTAGGAATCTCTGAAATTCATCTAGGAAGAAGCAGGTCCTAAGACAGGTAGTGAAAACCAGGAAGCCAAGAGAGGAAGTGGAATGCATTGCCACTGTCCCAGGTGGTGGTATTCTCACAGGGAGGGAGACCACGAGGTAGGCAGGGAGGGGCCCTGAACCACCCCAGATAGTTGATTGGGTGGTTCAGGTGCCCATACTCAACAGCCAAATCAGCCAGATCAGCTCCTTTTGGGTTTAATCATTCCTGTTATTCCCACTTCCCAATCTCCCACCACACCATGCCTTTGGCAATGTCTTATTTAAGCATTTGGGCCAAGCCTCAGGTGAGGGAAATGTGGGTGAATGACTGAGGGAAGCGGCGAGGGAAGAGGTGACTGAGAGGTGGTGAGGCCCTGATTCTGTGCACGGTATCCATGAGGTCCAGCCAGCACCCCCAGTGGAGGCTGTCCTGTGCAGTTCTTCGTTGTCCTAACTCACAGTACCTTGGCACCCTGGCCACTCACACAGGTTTGTTTGACCTGCTAGGGTTAACTGGAAGGCAGAAGTTCCATAAGGCTGTTGGGGATGTTTTCTCTCCTGCTTTTCGCTCCTGGAACACCTGCTCTTTGAGGGGGCTGGCTCCCTGCTAGATGGAACCTGTGAGACAGAAAGGCTCAGTCCTGGTCTTAGTACTTAGTGTGGGGCATTCCTTGGAGGCTAGCTCAGGAATCAGATTGCCCAAGGGAAATGAAACAGGAAGTCCTGCTGAGCCATTAATACCTTAAAGCAGAGCAGTGTACCTCAGATGTTCACAACAAAGTCCCCCAACTCCAGAAGCATTCTCAGTGCCTTCCTGAGTTGCAGATACCGGGAGCTCCACTTAATGCAGCCGCCACTGCACCAACACAATATTTCTTTGAATTCTCCATTTCATCTTGCATATTCATGTAACTTTTTTGCATTTGACTCTATGATATGGCAGGGCTGGTTTTAGAATATGGATGATGTGAGGAGTGGTATCATCTAGTTGCTAAAAGCATGTGTTGTTTAAACCTTTCCTCTTGTTTCTTCATTTGCAAAACGAGAATAAAAATAATATCTACCCCATAGGCTATTGTGATGAATAGGTATAAGCAAAATATCTGGAACAGTGCCTGCTATATCCTAAGTGTTTGAAATGTTAATATGACCATTCCTTTACCTAGTGTTTCTTTGCTGATGCAGTGTTATGAGAAGCACAAAAAATCAGTGCTCATTATTTACAGATTGCCTACTGTGAATTCAGCTACTTGCTAAAATTTATTTGTCATCGCTGTTTTAAATTTAGCCTAAAGCTGCCTTCTTACATATTTTAAGGTTGGCTTAAAGGTCTCTCTGTACTTTGTAAACTGTAACCTAACCATATGCAAACAGACTGTAACCTACTCTTGAAGCAGTCACAGAGAATTGGCCAATCACAGGCGGCCGACTGTTCAAACCATGTTTAAATGAGGCAAATGCCGAGCTGTAACCAATCCCGCTGTTTTGGTACCTCACTTCCATTTTCTGTCCATAAATATTGTTTGACCATGTGGAAGCCCCAGAGTTGCTCTGAACCCATTTTGTTTTGGGGTATGAGGGGGGCTACCCAATTTTAAATTGTTCTTTGCTCAATTAACTTCTGTTAAATTTGTCTAACGTTTTTATTTTAACACCTTGTAATCAATAGCTACAGCACTTTCAAAGTCATTCAACCAGTACTGAAGACGTTGAGTCTTCCGAGGCACGTGTTGGAGGCTCAGTCAACCCTCTGTCTGCTTGCTGCAGCTTCCACACTGTGAATGAGTAGCCTGAACGATCTCTTCATTGCCATGTTTTCACGTTTTTGTCTTTTGTTGATGATTTTGCTCCTTAAAGCACCCCCAGGCACAGTGCTGAAGAGCAGTCTAGTGCTGAAGAAGGCTGGGGTGTGCCCTGCAGAGGAAATTTTTGTGTTAGATAAGCTTCATTCAGGCATGAGTTACAGCACTGTGGGCTGTGAGCTCAGTGTTCAGGAATCAATAATAGATGTTAAACAAGATGTTTTTAAACAGAAACATGCATAAAATAAGGCAATGTGTTGACTGATGGACAAAAATGTTGTGACCAGAAGCTTGCAGGAACCCAACTCTGTATTTCTCCTAGGAACAACGGCTCCATATTCACAAATTCATTTTTCTGTGACTTTATTGACCACAGCTATGGTGAATAAAGAGGATTGATTGTCCACAGGCGAGTTAGTTCTAGTTTAGCCCAGCCCTCCCTACCCTTCACTAGCTACTCTTCCCTCCCGTCTCCAGCTGAACTGTCCTCTGCTCACTTGCTACGAGTCTAGTTATTTTGCACAGAGTGGAGAGGCAGCCTTGAAGATCCTCTTCTTGGCCAGAGGAAGTCGCCAGAGTAAGGAAGGGAAGAATGCCTGAGGAAAGCAGGCAGGGCTAACTGCTCTTGGCGAATGCACCAGCCACAGAGAACGCAGGAGAGCAACTTTAGGGGTGAACAGACAGGGAGAGGAGCAGATAGGGGTTCCAGTCCTGGCTTCTCCACTCATGGTGCAAGTTATCCTCCCAGCCTCAGACTTATCCTAGGTGAAATGGGATAATGCTACAAACTACTGCCGCTGTGAAGATCAGATACCCACAAAGAGCTTGGTACTCAACAGACACCCAAGGAAATGATGACTGTAGTAGAACTTAGGTGGGGGCATAACGCAGGCTTTGGGATAAATCTCCTGGCCCTTGGCTTATCCCGCTGGGACTAGGACAAGGACAGGGACCAGTATTTCCTCTTCTCTTCACCTCCAGAAGTACACAGGCAACTCACTTCAGTCTCTTGTCCTCGACACTGCCACCCCCACCCCAAATCCCAGGTCTGGACACTGTGATCCTAGCACCTGTGGAGCTCTCGGTTCCCCAAGCCCGGCTCAGACGAGGGGGCGCCAGCTTCCCGGTTAAGAGGCGCTCCTGCAAGATCGCCCGTGGTCCCTGGCTGCCAAAGGTCCCAGGTCCCCGGGCGGTGGCCGGTCTAGAGTCCACGGTCTCTTGTGTGGGGTCTGTGCTGTGCGGAGGAGACGCAGGCCAGGAGAGGGCCGCTGGTCTCCGACTTTGGTCCTGCCTGGCCAGGAGCACCTATAGCTCTTAGGCACGAGGCGGCGGTTCGGGCAAACAAACCTCCGTGTGGCTGCTGGGCCTGACTTTGCAGAGCTGGCGCCCGGGTCTGGGCGGGGTGGGTGGAGGCTAGGGGAGGTGGGGCCGGGGGTGGGCTTGGGGGAGCCACGGCATCGCTACTCCGGCTCGTGCTAAGGCGGGGCGGCCCGGCTGGCTCGCGGCTGAGCGGCCGCCTTTCTCCAGCGCGCCTGTCGGCGGCGGCGTCGGCGGCGTCGGCAATCCCGGCTCTTGGCACAAGGCCTGGCGGCCGGCCCAGGGCAAGGAGTGGCTTCCAGGAAGCGGGCGGAGGAGCGTTCCAGCCGAGTCTCGCCGTCGCCGCGGCCCCGCGCGCTCGTAGCGGCCCGGGCCCGGCCCCACACCCGGTCTCTTCGCGCCCCCGGCGCCTCGGGCTGGAGCCGAGGGCACGGTGCCTGCGCGCGGGCGGAAGGGCGCCTGGGCGCGCCGTGCACTTGCCGGGCGGTGCAGGTGGCGGCGCGCGCCCTCCGCCTCTGGGCCGGGGCCAGGGCAGCGCTCTGCGCGCCCGAGGGGGCGGGAGAGGCGGGGCAGCCCCCGTCCCAGCCCCATTTAACTTCGCTGCGGCGCCGCGGGCTGGAGGCCGGCGTCGGGGAAGGTCCTGGTCGCGGATTCCACACGAGGTGTTGACGGGCGGCTTCTGCCAGCCTCTCCCCAGCGCTCGCCCAGCCCGCGCGGCCCCAGGGCTGCACGTCCCAGATACTTCTGCGGCGCAAGGTGGGTGCACCTAGCTCGGCGCAGGGCAACCCCGCCAGGGGTCAGGGGAAGGCTTTCCCCAGGGGAAGCAAGACTCGGAGCAGCGGCCTCTCTAAGCAGGTCGGGGGACTCCAAGCAGAGTCGGGGCGTGCTCCGTGGGCCCCAGGGGGCCTCGGGACTGGGATGCTCCTCACTGCTGGGCACCTCGGGTCGGGCGCTCTCCGTAGCGTGCTGGGAGGTTCGGGAAGAGTGTTTCGGGGGACACTTCGCGGGCTGAGGGGCGTTCTGATTACGGGGGAACTCCACAGGGTTGGAGTTTTTCAGGATTGGAACGTATTAGCGGAAACCTCGCGCGTCCGAAGGTCCGGCTAGTTGGCAACTGGGTAGCGAGCGCCCAGACGCCGGGGGTTCAGGCGACGCGCGCTCGTGGAAAGTGGGCGTGGGCGCGGCCGGGAGGCGGCGGGGGCGCTGGAGGAGTGACTTCGAGGCAGCGGGTAGTCGGAGGAGTGTGCGCTAGGAAGGCTGGTGCGAGAGGGCAGGGGGGCGTACAGTCCCAGGGCCCGGCACTGGCTGCCTCCCTTCAGCCGGGAGTCGCCGCCTCGGGTCGGAAACAGCAGCACATTTGCGGATCGCATTAGGCCAGGCCCTTAATGCTTTCTCCAGATGGAGAGAAGCCACCGACCCGCCCCCGGACACCAGCTCCGCCAAGGCGCCTGCCAGGCGAAGCGAGAGTCGAGTGTGACCTCGGCTTTTCCAATCTCAGCTGATACTGATTTCCCTGTAATTGACGGGAAAGGTGAGGGAAAAAGACCTTGCTTCCCTCCTGGTTTCAGCTGACCTCTGCTGGGGAGCCCTCATCTACTTTTAGGAGACTGTGTTAGGCAGGCCCGGGGGCTGTGTCCTTCAAACTTCCCGGAACCTAGCTCTCAGGCATCTCTCTGGTTGTGGGTCCAGGACCTCGAGGGCGCACGCACGGTGTCATCTAGCGAGGAAAGCCTTGAACTGTCAGAAGATCTGCGTTCCAGTCCTAAAATGCCACTATCTTGCTGTGTGACCTTAGGCAGGTCCTTTCCCTCTCTGAGCTGGGTTCATTGTCTTAGACTCATTTTTGCCTTGAGTAGCAGAAGCTGGCCTAAACCTTGGCTTTGTGCTGGCTTCCTGAGTCAAATGCCAATAGCCACACCCTGCTGCTGACAGATGGGCTCGGAGGTGGCTGGGGCAGGGATGTCTCAGCTGCTGAAGGACTGGAGGTATGAGTTGCCCACTGAGACAGGTCCAGCCGTCGCCTGACCTTGATGTGGACCTCCTAAAGGAAGCCCAGTTACCTGCACCCTGCAGTGGGCGCCCCATCCTTGGCCAACACAAACCTTTCCACAACAGTGTCTGGGCTTCAAGGTCCCTCCATCTAATGGGTCTCTTAAGTCATGGTTACTGCCATGGGGGCCAGAGCTGGTTAGTAATCAATTGTTTCCTCTTCTGTAGGCTACAACTGAGACCCGCAGGAGACCAGACCCGATGGCTTCCTGGATGAGCCCCTGGTGGCTGCTGATAGGGATGGTCTTCATGCACTGTACCCTCCTGCAGGTAAGGTCATAGGGAGGGGAAGGGAAACGGTGGACATCCCTCTGCTTACTTAGAAGCATTATTCTAGACTACCTGAGATGTGGCATGATTAGTGTTATTCCTATACCAGAGAACCAAACTTTCTTTCCTACCTCCAGCCAATGGTGTTTCTGGTTGGTTTAGCTAGAAGAGATTATCCAGATCCTTTGGGTTCTTTCTGAATCTTGAACAGGCCCTTACTAGCACTGTGGATACCATGCACCAGTGATGACCTGGGGCTGTGATGGACCCTGTCATTTCTGACTAGAATGGCTGTCTGCATGTGCCCAGCAGAGGCTGGGTTGCTGGAGACTAGGACAGATTAATGGGCAGAGCCAGATTCTGGCCCCAGCTAAGCCACTAAGTAAATATTCTGAGTTTACATCTATCATCACATATCCTACTGTTTTATCCTGCACTCCTCTCTTTAGACTTCTGCTGTCTTCTCCAACCAACTTGGGAGGACCCGGCTCATGCAGTGTGTCTTTATTTGTCTATGGGATAGACTAAAACAAAGGAGTGAGGCCAGCATTGCCTGAGACATCAGGGAGTAATGGAGACAGTGGCAAAGTGCACAATGCCTACTCCATCTATGAAGAGCAGCCTCTACTCAATTCTATCTGATCATTGCTAAGTGGAGACGCAAGCCCAGGATTGCCAGATCTTATTTTTCAAAATAGCTGAGTCATCTCGATTTCTTGCCAAATTTCCCAGTTTTTAAAGCATTGAAAGGCAGATAAATATGTTTGTAGCCTGGATTCAGCCAAGGAGTTTGAAGCCCCAGATCTAAAGGCAGGGCACATCTTAGTATTGTGTCCCAAGGGCTGCAGCCAGCCCAATACAGTGTCTTGTGTGAACTAGAACAATCCCTCCCTGCAGACATAAATTCTCAGATACATGGCTTGGTGGCCTGGGCACACTCAGGGTCTAGCAAGGGACTCGTCATTTAAGGGCTTAAATGTCTGTTAAGTAAGCATGCATGCATGAATGAAGATATATACCCTGGGATAAATGAATCAGATTTTTCTGCCTCTTGTTTCACTTTCTTGGACTTAGTGTCTCTAAGCCCTCTTTCAGCTCCAATGCCCTGTGAAATCTGTGACGTACAAAGAACTGGTCAGCAAGGGACATCTTCTCCCCATTATCCCATTTTATTGATGCTATTCCATAATCATATTAATAGAGCTCTTTTGTTAGAAAGTCTTTTCAGGATGATTTTCAGGTTCTCTGGCCAGTGAGATGACTGTTGAAGTAGAAGGGTAGACTTGTTTCTGTCTCATCAGCAGATCTGAAACAGGCTTTGAGAGCTTCAGAGATCTGTTCCTGATCAAATGGGGCTAAGACTTCAAGGCACAGGGTTTCATTTTGTCTTCTTTCACCCTGTAAAATTTAAATGTGCTTTGAGGCAGTCTGTTGACCTTTGGCCAAGGGCAGTGTTTGCCCAGCTTGAATCACTCACTGACCTCTTTTGGATTTTTCCATATCTGTATGCCTGTGGCAGTGCTGTTTCCATGTATTGAGGCAGTGTGCATAGAAGGTCATAAAAGGAGATTTCAGACCAGCAGTCTTCATCACTCACGCCACCCACTGTTCGAATCCCAGCTCTACTGCTTCATCACCGTGTCACGCAAACATCTCTGCATCCCATCTCAGTTTTCTCATCTTTACAGACTTGGTAATATTAGTATAGACCTCAGAATTGTTTGGAGGAGTTAATCCATTGTGAAGTGGAAGAAAGTGGAAAAACCAAACCAAACAGCGTCTGACACGTAGTAAGTGTACAGTAAATGTCAGCATTCTGCTGGCTGTTGCCGCTGCTTGTCAGCATTAGAAGCTTGAAGCAAGTGCAGTGCCTGTGTTTTCTGGTGTGGAGCCTTTAGGGGGCACTCAAGAGGTATCAGCTGTGGCCAGCCTGATCTCCGGGAGGTGTGGGCGTGGGCGTGGCGTGGCGTGGCGTGGGCGTGGGCGGGCGTGGCGTGGGTGGGCGTGGCGTGGGCGTGGTGTGGGCGTGGCGTGGGGCAGTCTCACCATATGCCCTGAGAGAAGGTTCTGATGAAGCGTGGTACGTCAACCCTGGGACCCTGCCCATGGCTTGGACATTCTGTGGGTTTTGTTTTGTTTTGTTTTGTTTTTTCCTAGAGTCAGCCTGGGTTTGACTCAAAGCTGCCTGTCTCAAAGCTGGTGTTTGGGTGGGTCTTAAGGTGTTCTGTAGCGTCTACCCTTGCTTGGTAAATGCTGCCACCAGGTGGTTGGTAGAAAACTAATAGATTTGTGAGGCATAGGCATTAATAACAAATAGATTTTCTTTCTTTTTTTTTCTTTGCTCCTTCCTTCCTCTCCCCTTCCTTCCCTCCCTCCCTCCCTCTCTCCCTCCCTCCCTTCCTACCTTCCTTCTTTTTGACACGATTTCACTCTGTTGCCCACACTGGAGTGCAGTGGCACGATCTTGGCTCACTGCAACCCCTGCCTCCCAGGTTCAAGTGATTCTTGTGCTCACTCTTTGAGTAGCTGGGACTACAGGCACACACCACCACACCCAGCTAATTTTTGTATTACTAGTAGAGATGAAGTTTTGCCATGTTGGCCAGGCTGGCCTCGAACTCCTGACCTCAAGTGATCTGCCCACCTCCGCCTCCCAACGTGCTGGGATTACAGATGTGAGCTCACTGCGCCCGGCCACAAATACATTTTCTTTACTGAATCAGTTAAAATGTAAACTCTTATATTCACTACCCACAAATAATTGTGATAGATTGCAGAATAAGGCATGAAGCTGGCAGCTCCTTGTTTTTCTAACTCATTCTTGACCATTCCTGGAGTTGCTCACTGTTTCTCTCACCCAGGCAGCTGGAGTGGCCTCCCTTCTTCCTGTCTCACAGGCCCTGGAAGCTTCCTGTTGCTCCAGCCTTCTCCTTAGGGACCTGATTTTCCCAGAGAAGATCGCAGCTGCTGTTCCTACTCTCTCTTCCAGCCTGGAATATTTGAGACCTTTTCAAACTTTATCCTGAACACCTTGAAGATGAGTCCTATGTTGACTGTCCCCTGAATTACAACTTGCCCCCTCCCCACCTTTTTTTTTTCTCTTGCCCGGGAGAAGAGTAAACAGCCTCATCTGTTCACTAATTTGATTGTCATAGGATGGCTTTGTAGCTCTCTGGCCAAGCGCCTTTAGAAATTGTTTTAACATTGCTCATGTGGCTTACGATTATCTCTTTAAACAACCATGTCAAGATGGCTTCATGTATATCTGAGTGGCCCTCCACCATGTTTTCCTCTAGGGAGGTGCTGTACTGTTCAGATTATCTGGCCAATTCTGTCCTGTCCCCTTTCCTGTGACTCTGGATAGAATAGCCTTTTCAGAAGATGACTTGATCTTTGACTGTCTCCACTGCCATAGATATCTACTGGAACAGGTCCCTTGAGGTCACAGTTTTGAAAGGCAGGAGGAACTTGAAGACGTTCTGGGAGGTCTTATAACTCTGTGGTGACCTTCTCTGCAGGGAGGATTTTGAAAATTTCAAAACACAACTTGTAAAATAAGCAATATCTGAGTTGGCTCCAGTCCTGTCCCCTGGGTCTTGTTAGTGCCTAAGCATAGGACAGAATTGTTTAACATTTTCTTTCTGATCCTGAGGCTGAAGGCTGGTATAGAAGGCTGATCCTGCAGAGGGCTTTGAGAGAGGGTGGGAATGGAAGGCCAAGTGGTCTTGGGTAGATGACCTTTGTGCTCCTTTTGCTTTCCTCATCATATCTGTGGAGCTGCCAGGCCGAGAGTGTGGATGTCCTTGGGATGTGTGTTAGGATGACTGATAACCCCCAGATATGTCCATGTCTTCATCCCTGGGACTCATATGTATTCCCTTATGTGGCAAAAAGGACTTGGCAGATGTGATTAAGAATCTTGAAATGGGGAGACTATCCTGGATTATACAATCACAACAGTCCTTATAAGAGAGCCACAGGAGAGTCAGAGGCAGAGGAAATAGAAGATGCTACAATGGAAGCCAGAGACTGGAAGAATGTAGCCAGGAGCTAAGGCATGGCAGCAATCTCGAGAAGTTGGAAGAGGTAAGGGATGGGTTTTCTGTTCAAGTCGTCAGATGTAACTGGCTGTAGGGACACCTTGATTTTAGTCCTATAAAAACGCATTTCAGATTTCTGACCTCTGGAACTGTAAAAGAATAAACTTGTATTGTCTTAAGACCTACATTTGTGGTAATTTGTTACAGTACCAAGAGGAACTAACACAGGATGTCAGGGGTGGGCTTTGAATCTTGACCTCCTTGCTGCCGCCAGCAGAGGCATCCCTTCCTCACCTCCTGGCGCAATCATAGGTGCTGAGAGAGGCTGGCAAATCACAGAATTGACATGAGGACAAAAGAAGTGTCATTTGAGTGTTGGTGGCTTAGCTCAGTCCTCTTATTCACCTTCTACAACAATCTCACATTCCATAGCAATCTCACCATCCATGTTCCCCAGTTACCCCTGCTATTGCTATCACACTTGATCATGTCAATCTTGGGCAGTGGAGGGTGGGATCCTAGGGAAGGCAGTCCTGGTTCAGGGTTCAGGGAACTCTCTCTGTGGATAAATCAGCTCAAGGTAGCCCTGACTCTGACGTGGGACATAATTCCCTTTAGGTCAGCCTAGATTTGGCTGGGTTTGGCCCCTCGACAAGTCATAGCTTTGTGTCTGAGTGTTGCCCCGTATTGGGTGATCTGGGAGGCTGGGGCCTCTGAAAGACCGATTTATTGAGAAGTCTCGTTTTAGTAAGGTATAAATATGGAGTCAATCATTGGTCTAGCCATGCCTTGTGAAATTACCTTTTCCCATCCCTTAATGGAATCTAGGAAGATTCAATTTTGGTTATTAAACGTTCAGCTCATCTAAAGTTTTGATTCTCAACTTGATTTAAATCTTGTCTCCCTTTCCCATGGTCTGGGCTTGACAAATGGCTTCAGGTACCTGAAGTTGGACAGGGC